GTGTGTGTGTGTGTGTGTGTGTGTGTGTGTGTGTGTGTGTGTGTGTGAGTAGTGGTTAAATCCTCAGAGCTGCAGCCAAACTGCCCGGGGGGACTTGAAAGTTGATCAAAGTGTTTTGAGGGGAAAGCGATAAAACAAGGTCATGATCTCAGCAGTTCGACTAATGGCCAATTAGAGCGCTCGATATAACCTCAGACCAGAAAGGTATGGATATCCTGACTGGCTCTTCAGCATAAGCACATGTCTTTGAAACGTTTTAATGTTTCTCTGCCAAAATCTAATAAGATTTGTGTCTCTCAGCTTGTTTTACGATGTGTTCTGCCCCCTAGTGGCCAACAATCTAGCTTTAGAGAAGATACTTGGGGATTTTAGCCTTAGCAGACCATTGACATGCACAAACCCTATATAACACACTACAGGATAAGGGAAACCCCACAAAAGCATCATAGGGCCTCTTTACAGAAGGTTTGTATTGTTCCTCAGACAACATCTAATAGGATTTGTGTCTCTCAGCTCGTTTTCGATGTGTTCTGCCCCCTAGTGGCCAGAAATCTAGCTTTCGAGAAGATACTTTGTTTGCCTTAGCAGACCATTGACATGCATAATAACCTATACAACACACTACAGGAAAGGGAACAAAAGCATCATAGGGCCTCTTTACAGAAGGTTTGTATTGTTTCTCAGCTTGTATTACGATGTGTTCTGCCCCCTAGTGGCCAGAAATATATTGCCGTATAGCATTAAAGAAGAACATTTGGGATTTTGCAGACCATTTACATGCACCAAACGTATATAACACACTACAGGAAAGGGGGAACTCCCCCTAAAGCATCATAGGGCCTCTTTAAAGAAAGTTGTTATTGTTCCTCAGCCAACATCTAATTAGATTTGTGTCTCAGATTGTTTTCGGTGTTTTCTGCCCCCTAGTGGCCAAACATCTACGACAGCTTTAAAACCATAACAAGCACCACCAACCAACCAACCAGGAGTTAGAAAGAAGGATCCAGCTACCTGATGAGGACACACTGGTTCTGCAGTCTCTTCCACAGCGAGCGGTAACACTCGTTGGCGACGGCGAAGATGTGCGGAGAGATTTCTCCCAGGTGGGTCCGGCTGTAAAGCTCCATGGCGGCGTGGTCGTACAGACCGGAGAGAGACTGGTACGGGTTCACCGCCGCCAGGATGGAGCCGATGTACGTCTGAGGGTCAGAGAGAGGATGTTATTCACGGTGCACATTGGGATTTTGATTTTGATTTATTTCGAACGCATAAAACAATAATGAAACAAGAGAATTATGATACTGTACAGACTTAGGCAGTATCAAATATTTATTATTGACTTACAAATGATATATCTAAATGTATGTCTACATACAATATACATCAAATCAAGTTTTATTTATTTAGCACATTTATAAACGATGTTTGGTGGAGCCAAAGTGCTGTACATACAATAAAAATAGCCTACAGTAGAGACACTTTACAGCAAATACAACAGCACAGACCCTCTGTCCTTAGACCCTCTGTCCTTAGACCCTCTGTCCTTAGACCCTCTGTCCTCAGACCCTCTGTCCTCAGACCCTCTGTCCTCAGACCCTCTGTCCTCAGACCCTCTGTCCTCAGACCCTCTGTCCTCAGACCCTCTGTCCTTAGACCCTCTGTCCTTAGACCCTCTGTCCTTAGACCCTCTATCCTTAGACCCTCTGTCCTTAGACCCTCTGTCCTTAGACCCTCTGTCCTTAGACCCTCTGACCTCAGACCCTCTGTCCTTAGACCCTCTGTCCTCAGACCCTCTATCCTTAGACCCTCACATCGTACAAGGAAAAACTTCCAGAGAAAACCCACAGTTTAAGGGGAACAAGGGAGAAACCTCAGGGAGAGCAACATGTACAACTATAAATAGATTATATCATTAGTACTACAATATATATATATATATATATATATATATATATTATTCAGGGTGTAAATGAACCAGATGTGATGATGTCTACCTGTAAGATAGTACATGTTCACAGATAGAGTTACGTTAATCAGGTATGAATGGACTATTTTCACCTATCTTCTTAATTGGGCTGTTTTTGCATCATATGTTCGTTATACTTTCAATACCTCAAATCCCACAGGACCAGCGAGGAGCTATTAGCCTGGCAGCCCAGTAAGAAAAGCTTTCCAGTCCTGTGGCTTTGATAGTTACACTGGTTCTTTTCGTCTTTGTGGTGCAGGTGTATTAGCTGCAAAAGCTGCACAATCGTTTAGTGAATTATCCATCTGCTACCAACAAGACATTTCAGAAACAGGTTCTGTTGAGATTGAGATTTAAACGTCATGGTACGGCTTTCCAAAAGGTTTAACATGTAAATGACGCCAGGCTGTAACATCTCTGCAAACATCAAACTAAGAGACTAGTGGCGGATTCACAAAGGATGGATTGTGGACAATGTCTCCATCTTCAAGAATTGCACATCATTTGCAACCGTTATTTGCCCTGTCCAAAAGTCCAATCCACCAAAGTTAAGATGGACCATTTTAAAACGATGATAAACGATTGCAGAACATTGGTTTCTGAAAACCTTTCCAACGACAAGTGATATCTCTCTGAACCTATAAGTCAAACATCTCTGCAGCCCGTCACTGTTGGAATAACAGACGGGCCAAAGGCTGCACATAATCCAGTTCTCTGACAAAAGCTCAGAGTCATAAAACCTTTATTGAGCTTAATGGAAGTCAGACGACAGACACATGACCCCAGTGATACTCAACATCTCCGTCACCACTTCCTCTCAGCTTGGGGAAAGCTCAGCATCTCAACGCTCAACACTTCTGACCTGTTGTTGTTCTTTTCCCCTCGCCTCCCTCAAACTGCACATCTTCCAGAGCGGCTTCATGTTTCAGAGTTCAAAGCAAAGCAAACGGCTGAAGCAGAAGCCAGAGAAAGTGTTGGCAGTGTTCAGCGCTGCGGTGGTGACTGATGCATTGTGGGAAGGCTGGGAAAAAAGGCAGCACATCAGCATCTGTGTGTGTCTGTGAGAAAACAACTGGATGTTTCTCCCGATGGCCTCGCTGCGAGACGTCGTAAAGGTTAGCAGAACAAATCGTCACGGAGGCTGTTCAGAAAAGTGGTAGAGATGTGTTGATGCAAAGATACTAGGGCTGCTCAATTCATCGTATTTTAATCGTGATTACGATTACGGCTTGCAACGACTACGAAAACAACGTGATCGAAATAAAACGATTATTTTTTTATTATTACTTATTTTTTAAATTATTTTTTTGTATTGGTTTTTCAGTTGAGTTCTACTTTAAGTTCAGGGTAATCAACTGTTCAAAGGTTTTTTCTACAATAAATGGATGTTTTCAAAGTCATTTAATAATCGCAATTACAATTATTGACCCAAATAATCGAGATTATGATTTTTGCCATAACCGAGCAGCGTTAAAAGATACTGTCAAACCCAACAAACGCAAAGAGGTGCGGTTAACAAGTTGAGACGTTTTCCATCTCTAAGACAAGCGGACGTCCCAAGAAAACAAACCTTAAATTGGTTAAAAGAGTGAACTCGATCCACAGTTTGGAAAGGTTAACAATAATTACTTTTCATTTGGATTTACCCCTTAAAGGCACCAGGTTGTTTGTGTACAAACCCCAGAATAAATGTCTAAATTCTGCTCCTGAACCCTTTGGATAACACTCATGAGCGTGGTCCACTCCATGTTGGAGCAAACTCTCAAAAGTCAGACTTTGTAAGAGGTCATATGTCTCATTTCCCAGCATCGACACAAATCAACAAAAAGATGAAGCCAATCTGTTCAATTTGCTTCAAGGTCGAACATATCCAGACATCCTGTACCTTATCTACTTCTTGTGATACAGTATGTGTGCTTTGACTGTCAACATGTGTATTAGCCTTAATCATAACCATCTAAAGAACGCATATACCTATTCTTAACGATCTCTTTTAATCAAATGTTGCATGGGAATGTTCTTGTATTATGTGTTGCTGTTGGAGAATGGCAGTATATGCATGCATCACAATGACATATTGACAAGTCTTCCACCTATGGGTTAACATAATATTAACACGTCCTCATTCCTTAACATAACTGCAGTGGTTTTAAGCAAGTTATTAAAGTTTGGGAGCACTTTAGTTTAGGCAACACAACTACTTGCTTGGGTTTAGAAAAAAGCCTGTTTGGGTCAATAAGTGTAATTGTTACATAACTTAAGTTACATAAGTAAGATAACCCACGTTTCTCCATGAAAAGCTGCACAGAAACCCCACAAATCCCAGCAGCTCAGGTTTCATGCTGCAAAAAGGGTCATGTTGAACTTTACCCTACTTTCTCTCTGGAGTCTAAACACCTATTCTGCTAAATGTAAAGAAGACGAGGTATTTTCTATCATGTTCGTCTGAAGACGGGAACATTGTGTGTGTGCAAAGTGTAAATCGTATTACAGGGGATCAGAGTGTTCCCATGAGCACACATTAGGAGGTGAGGGTCGCCTGGAGGAGAAGATGCATTTAGAAGAAACACTTTGGTGTGCAGAGCTTCTCCTCCTCTCTGCAGACTTCTTGTTATCCCGGAACAACACAAGAGCACCTCTGAAAGCAGGCGGCTGTCAGTCACAGTGGAATCACATTTAGCGTCTGGCTGTAGTCCCACGGAGATGTGCTTCACACCTTCTGCTTGCTTTAGTGAGGCCGCTTTAGTCCTCTCTTCCGTAGCTTTTATTATCGCTTCACTACCGGTTAGTAAAAGGTTTATTATTCTACTGGAGCTTCAGCGTAAAGCAGACACATCTACAACAGAAGACCCCTTTTCCTCTTTATCGAGGTCAATCAGAAAACATTTCCAAATCGTTTGGATGAATAGAAATAAGACGAAAGCTCTGCCGTGCGTGAGGTTACACCGTGCCCAGAGCGCTGAAGAACAGATATCAGATTACAGCCATAATAACCATGATTAGGGTTAGTCGGCATAGCGATGCACACAGCATGAAGAGAAGACAATCAGCCTGGTGATGCAAAGGCAAGGCAAGTTTATTTATATAGCACTTTTCAACACAAGGCAATTCAAAGTGCTTTACAAAAAATGAAAGACATTAAGAAAATAGCATTTCAATCAGTCATTAAAGGCTTCATCTGAAGAGGGTCGTCTACTAAGAGTTTGAAGATCGCTCAGCTTTTGACATTATGAATACAAGTTCAACTCTCGTTACAACCTGTGGTTCACTTCAGTCATTACATATAGGATATTTAACTGCCCAAATAAGATTATACTATGATATGATATGCACCCGATGACCTGTAAAAGCACCAGTAGAAGTAGTGTAGTGTTACCCCAGATGGTTCCTCCGGTCTTACCATGCTTTTAGCAGAAAGCAGACAGCTTAGATAAATCTGCTTTTTCAAAGAGAAATGTGTCATGTTCTTATCATCAACAAATCCCCTGCATAAAAAGAGCAAAAGCATCCGTTAGTCAATCCGTCCTTCAGTACATTTCTACTTCCTGTCTGTTGCTTTTAGCTTAGATTGGTTCATATACTGAAGATATGGATCACAGACTGATTGAGTTTCTTTAACGAAAGGCTCAGCAATCTCCTTAAGCAACGCAACACAGTAGTTATTAATAAATGATACTCAAACAGTGGGATATACTGTAGAGCAGTGGTTCTCAAATGGGGGTACGCGGACCCCTAGGGGTACGTTGGAGTACTGCAGGGGGTACGTGAGATTTATTTGTATGTTAATTGAAAAAATAAATAAATACCAATTTTAGAAAAAGTAAGGAAGTTTGAGCAGAGTGGGTTTTATATGAACAGAGTTTCACATGTTTCAAAACGCGAAGTGTAATAACTGCAGTTTGCCTCGCTGTCAGAATGACACAGATCCTCAGTGAAGCACGAGCCCATGTTTCACTACATTGTACAACTTATTAAAAAGATCAGTTCAATGCAACTAATGTCGTCTTAGTGTTGAAATGTAGCATTTAAGTGTTTCTCAGTTACAAGGTTGTTGTTTTAATAAATCAGACACCGATGGTGCAGCGCTGTACTGTACCTCTTTATATAGGCATTTCTTCCCTAACAAATGGTTTTTGCGCTGATCAGGGGGTACTTGGCTGCATTTTTTTTTCAAAGGGGGTACATTAATGAAAAAGGTTTGAGAATCACTGCTGTAGAGGCTGGGGGCACTAT